CCACTAGCCTCGGCACCTGTTTCACAACTTTCTTGTCTTTGGTTTGCACCACATGAACGAACACGTGCAACAACATTTGCTATATGTTTTAATAATTTTGGTGCAGCTGTTGGTTTTGTTATTAGTCCATTTATTGTTTCTTCACCTGATTATATTCCTCATCTTCTTTATGTTCATTTAGGTCTTGCATTTATTTCTTGTATATTTGCTCTACTCTATTTTCCTCCACAACCACCAAGTGCACCTTCAGCAGCAGCTGAATTACTTATTCTTCATCCGATTAGTGAACAAAATAACAATTCATTGAAAACATTTATGAATGATACTTGGCGATGCTTAACAACACCTTCATTTGTGCTGCTCACAGCAGCTAGTGGTACTCTTTCTGGTACATTTGGTGCATGGACAAGTCTATATGATCTTATTCTCAAACCTGAAAATTATACTGAACAACAAGCAGGCAAATAGAAAAATGTCGATAATAATTGAAATCTGCTTGTCGTTTTTTTTTCTAGGATGGTTTGGTTTTGGTTCATCAATAGCTGGAATAATTGGTGGTTTATGTTTAAGTTTTCTTGCTGATACACGTCGTTTTCAACATTCATTAAAAGCTCTTATTGTTACTGCATTTGTCGGTTGTTTAATATCGATTATTTGGTTTCAATTATCTGTTCGTACATTTTTCTATGATAAACCAATTCTTCCATCAACCGCTGTTACTATTGGTTTATCAATTACATTAGCTGGTCTCTTTTTTGGTGCCGGTTCACCATTGATATATGAAGCTATTGCTGAATTAATGTTTCCTTTGCCAGAATCGCTATCAGCATCAATTCTTGTTCAATGGGTTAATGTTACCGCACTTATTCTTTTATTTATTGCACCTAATCGATATAAATTAATGAATTTACTTGTATTAATTGTTATAATTTCTTGTATTGTAATGGTATTATTAGCACGATTTTCTTATAAAAGACGTGATGAAGATGAACGAAAACGACTCCAAAAAGAACAAGATCACATATTAGGTTCAGGACTGTTAAGTCCATATAGAAATGATATTATTAATCAACCATAATATAGTACATTTTCCTAGAATCGTCCGGAAATGATAAAAATGAGACTTTTTATATATAATTCGACGTGAAAAAGCCAACTTTACAAATCTATATTTTCAGTTGTTCGATTTAAACAGAGTAATATAAAAAAAAATATTTTTTTTTCGACCAAATCAGTGCATACATCAAACTGCTATTATTGCTGATAGTTGCTGAAACAAGTTTATGGTCAGCTTTCAGCCATTCTTAGATGGAATAAAATTGCAAGTATAGGATCTTGTAGAATAATGTTCATTCTGCAAAATCTTATATGTCACCAAACAATGGACTTCAGATTAAGGGAATTTTCCACCTCCAGAACATTGTGTATTCTATTTTTCCATGCCTACAAATGAGGTCCAGAGAAGATTTTTCGCAAGTCAACGAATAAACGAAAGCGGCATAACGGGTTAGCAAAAATTTTGCATTCATTTTATTTTCGTTAGTACTTCGCAACGAATCATTATTTCAACTTCATTTTTTAGTATTGGAAAGAGCAACATCTGAATTTCCATCACTCTCTAAATATCAATATTTGTTCGTTGTCTACTTTTATAAGTTTTCATTGTGACAACGTAAGAAAGTAGACAATGGAGAACTATTACTATTGACAAAGCGATGGAAATGTTCTTCGAATATAGTGAGTATTATACAGGTAGACGGTTCGATGATCGATTTTTTCAATGGTGAAAACTCGAGCTTGATAGCTCTGAACAAATCGAAAGTTATCCGAAAAATAATGGAGATAAAAAGAAAATTAATGCAAAACGTTTGCTTTACCCATTAGACGAAAATTTTCACATGGCTACTTTCTCGATTTTCTGAGTCTACCACGAGAAAGTGAAATAGAAGAAGTAAATACAATGGAGTTTTCATAAAAATCTAGAGCAGAGAATTCTTCATCAATGTTAAATATATTATATATGCCAATCCAATGTGACGAACATAACCTACACAAATCGATAAAAGTCTGCAACAAAAATATGAGATGACAGTTAGATGAATGAGAAACAACTTATCTTTTAAATTTGTACAAACAAAACAATTTGGGTTGAAAGCATAACAACAAAGATCTGATAAACTTTGAATCTTTTTCACTGAGATTAGTTCGGTTCATAAAAAACACGAGCCGAACTCATCTCTTTCAGGTATTGATATCGTCGTTAAAATAATGTTGATAAGGTCGTATTGTTTTTGAAAAATTTTTCATGCGCCATTTATAAATGAATCTAGTGAAAAATTCGTACTGCTGAAAAAACACGTACTGATAAAAGTTCATTCATACGAACTCTTATTCGAATTGGTACACTTGTTAATGGTCATACTAGCTTTGATAACAATTGATGTAGCAACCATTGGATTAGATGATGTTCGATGTCGTATTTTAATTATTCCATAAGATCCTATTCTTTTTACCAAGTAAAATATGAATGTTGAATCAAAACAAGTGCTATTCCATATGCATAAAGAGACTCATTCAGTTTCATGATTTTGTCGATTATATCGCAAGTAAATTATTAAAATTTCCGATAACTTGTGTTCCAAAATCTTTAAAACTACAGTCTATTCAAGTAGAAGTAGTAATTGAGAAAATATATAAAATTATTAAGAAATCAACGTTAAATAGCATATATAATATTGGCAGCAAAAAGTATATAACACGAAAGAAAGAAAGAATGGATTCATTATCGGAAATACGTCATGAAAACAAATTAATACTGAATATGCCATTAATAGATAAAGTTGTCAATGGATTCAATACAGACTATCTGAAGTCACTTGAATATTTAGAAAAAGCACTAGCTACGGAAAAGAATGTTTTTATTTGGAGGGCATTATGTCAGGGCTGCCGACTGCAAAGATGTCGAATGGGGTGTAAAAGGTCTCTAATTGGATACATGTGGGGTACAATTTTTTTTAAATGGGGTGCACTGATGGGGCACATCATTTTTCCAAAATTCAAGGGTGTGAGACGAAAAAATGGCTGAAGTAAATGCTTTTTGGGGTATGGGTGTAGTGTGGATATATCATGTTACTGCATCCTTAGTTACATCCACACCTACACACCCACATCCACACCCTGGAAATAAAAGGCATTAAACTAAAGAGCTACAACTTAGAGCCAAGAACTCAAAGGCATGAACTTACCAAAGTTTTAATTTCAGAGCTTGAAGTAGAAAAAAAGCCATATAGTGTTAACAAGTGAGGCGGCAAAAATCGAAAACTTAAAACTGCAAGTAGAATAAGAAATGAAGCCTGAACGATGCAACCCCAAATTAACGAAAATACACAAATTAAAATCGGTATCAATAATTGAAATTTTTTTCCTGTGGTACTCTCACGACTCTTGGATGTCGACAACTTCCTCTATAGAAATGTATTTCTGTCGTAGAATTCTGAATGTTCAGATGTATGGGAAAGTTTCCAACAAGTTTTAGAAAGAAAGGTATGAGAAACTTTTCCATGATGTTGTAAAAGTAGGATCATGAACAAAATGTGAAAAAATTCGTACAATTGCAGTTCACATTTATTATTATTTCAAATAGAAACAAAAAAAACCACTGAATCAATTATGATTATTAACATTAGGATCAGGATGACATTGAATACAACGACGATCATCTTTATGATTCATATTATGTTCATCCTAATCATGTGTAGTACAACGACAAGCATTTACAAAACGTTCAAAGTCAAATTGATCCATTAAAATATTTTCTAAATCATCATTGGTATTATCAAGAGATGCATTAGAATCATCTCTATAATCGTCCACAAATGTTTCATCGTCACTATCGTCATCGAAAAAAATTATAATAATTAACATGTGTATCATTATTGACAATCATCAAGTCACGACTAAATCGATCGACATTTTTCACGTATACATGACAAATATTATCATCTGGTGCCATATTATTAATATAATTTTTGATGAAGTCAATAAATCAGCTTTCAATTGAATTGCGATTATTAAGGAGGGACATCAGCTGCTGATGGTTCAAGCTAGTATCGGAAAATACTTGATAATCCGCGTCGTTGAAAATATTATTAATCTTGACAACCAAATTATGAGATAACTGATAATTACATCGATAATCGGAGGATGATGGTTCATTGAAAAGTAACTCGGGACGAGACATGACTAAGACAAAAAACGAAACAATCATTTGTTAATACCTGTAATTAGAATAAAAACATAAGCTAAAAAGAGAGAAAAAAAATTATTTTATTTTATTGAATAAACCAAGGAAGAGACCAGCTATTTATAGCAAACAATCGATTTCCACATAGAACCTATTCAGTTTTGTGAAGTTGTAGTACTGTCTACTTTTCTCTTTTGTATGTTATCAGCCTCTATAAATTTTGTAAATAAACGAAGAGAAATCCAGATTTATGTTGTCAGTTCCTTTTCTTTTCTTTTTTCGTTCTGTCACTAACGTTTTTCCGTCTGACGACCTTGATATTAATTCACATTAAGGGCGGGGTGTGAGTGTAGGTGTGGGTTATCTCTTCATTAACACCCTCACTCGTACATCCCTACCCACACCCACACCCAAATGATATAACGATTATATGACTTATCAAAATAATAAAAAACCAGAAGAATTAACTAAAACTTAATCAAAACTAACAGCTGTCTTGAATTTATGGCAAACACGTTGCAGATGGTATGATAAAATAATAACAGACAAAGATCGTAGAAATGCATTCCAAAACAAAGACTCTAACCAACATAATAGAGAATACTGTAGAATGACACGAAGTCGGTCTCGATCATGATCTTCTACTATGGTCAACCGTGACTATGCAATGACCGATGATTCATTAGAGTTCATCGAAGATACAATGGAGGACAGACTAGTAGACATGGCATCAACCTCGTTCAGGGATAGATTTGAGATGGATATTGATTACGCTAGTGATGATGATGAGGAGGAGGAGGAAGAAAACTCGACTACCCAAAGTCGTTCCTTTCACGATCGATCATCATATTCAAGAAGACATTCATTCAAGAAGAGACTTGCTACTACTAATACGGGTAGTAATACTCAAACGATTACTCTTCAAAACTGGGATCCACAAACACCATACATGAACAAAATTAAGTCAAGTACTAGTTTACAAACAGCTTATTAAATTTATTTAAATGAACGTCAGTCGTATTCTAAATCACTATCATTTTATTTTGATATAGCATCATATTTTTTCTTACAAGCTCGTTCTTCAAATTCAAAACAATCATTAATTGATGTATTTAATCAACATTATGCGCAGTCAAATTATAATATTTCAAATGAATATCAATATTTTGGTTTACGTATTCTTACATATGCTTTAGAATTAGAATTGGAATCAGTACAATTATTACGAACCGTTGCTTATAAACTTGTTGAATTTGATCTTTACAATTTAGCTGAGAATATTTTTCGACCTATTGTAAATTTGAGATCGGACGAGCCACAATCATTTCGAGATCTAGCATTATTATTACAAGAATCTAATTCTGAAACAAAGAACCTTATAGAAATATCAGATCTATTTAAGAAAGTTATATTTGGTGAATGGGATAATTGTTATTCAGAAATTGAAGTTACCACATTGCATGAATTGAATTGTTTCATATTTCAATTTCATCAACAACAACAAATATTGAATTCGATTGATAATCGTCTTATTCGTCATTTACCTGTCGACTTAAGAATTGTTATGGATTGGGATACAAATGATACAGATGTTGATTTACATGTCATCGAACCGACAGGTGAAGAATGTTATTATTCTCATAAAAATACAGCTATTGGTGGTATGATAAGTCGTAATTTTACACAAGGGTATGGACCGGAAGAATATCTTGTTCGAAAGACAGTCAAAGGTACATATATAGTTCGAGCAAAATATTTTGCTAATCATCAACAAAGTCTAACTGGTGCAACGACAATCATGGTACATATTTATAAATATTATGGACAATCAAATCAACAAAAAGAAATTGTTACATTACGATTGAGTAGTAATCAGGAAATGATCGATGTATGCAAAGTGAATTTCAATGATGATATTCAATAAATTTCAAACAATAGGGTAACGAATAATCAAAATTTAAATACGAATATTCATTTACATGTGACGTGTGATGGATGTGATATGTCACCAATAAAAGGAGATCGTTACAAATGTTTATTTTGTCCCGATATTGATTTTTGTCAATCATGTAAATCTATTAGTAGAACAAATCATAATTCGAATCATCCATTATTATGTATTAAAGATTTCAGTGAATATCCAAAGTCAGTTTACTTAAATAATCGTAATAAAACCAATCATAAGAATAATCAATGTAATTCATGTTTTATGAAACTGCTTATTGGTATTCGTTATAAATGTACTAGTGGAATTAATTTATGTGAAAAATGTGATTCATGGGTTTACATGATGCAGATCATTGTCGTACAAAAACAGGTAAATCAGAATGATTCCATTCAAATTTTGACTTGTGGACTTCTATTAAATAACGAATATTTAAAATAATTTTATTCCTGACTTTCTATTTCTTTGAATAAAATGGTTTTTTGATTTAAAAAGGATCAACATCTATTTTTTATAGAGAATATTTTTTCTCGTCGAAATTCAGCTTTTAGTCTAAAATTTATCTTAAAGGTTACATAGTAATAAAATACATGTTTGTTCTCTGAATATGTCACAAGGCTGAATAACATCCTACTTTTTCAATTAATTAACTGAAGAGTCTTTGATAGACAAGTCGTTTTCGTGTTGGGTGTAGGTGTGGATTTAGATAAAATGAATACCTACACCCTCAGTTCTACGCTTTTCAATTTTTGGATATAGTGTATCTTGAATTTCTACTGCTTTTTTCGCTAATTCTTCGTCTTGTTCCGTACACTCTAGTACATTCAAAGTTATTGTCCTTAAAATAACACATGTGTATGCCAACTATTTCCACTCATTTAAAATCTAATAATTTATCCACGTTGTATTAATTAATGATGAATCGAACTTGTCCGATAAGATGCATTTGTTTGATAAAATCAATTGTTATCATCAAAGGACATAACTGGTAGTGTCGCAAGCAACTCCTAATTGAAGAGAACGAACAGTTGCCTATATCAAGAAGAAAATATTTAAATGAAATTTTCATGCAGAATAACATATGATCTGTATATGCTTCTGAATGAGAACAATCCAATGTGGGGCAATGAGCTTCAAGTCGTTCGATTGAACTCCTTCGTTTCATGACAATAGCATTCAAAAAATGAAGGTCAGCTTCATTGTCATACCAGAGGGAAAGACACATTAATTTAGGAAAACATGTTTCAAAATTGTAGATTGAATCGAATTTTTGAAAGTTAAAAAGTTTCAGTGTAATAATACTGATTGTTTTGTGTACGATGTAGTATTCAGACGTAACGAAACAATATGTTCAGCATTGAATTTTCGAAGAATCATCTTAATAAATGCATCAGAAGATTGACAAATCTCTACTTTTCTTTCATACTGATGTAGTGTAGGAAGAATATTAGTGGAAAATAGATTGATTCAGGGGCGGCAGAACGTTTTCAAATCGGGTGAGGCTCAAAGTCAAATTTGGGTGAGGCTCAGAGCCTAATAGTGTCGAAAACAGGTGATACTTAGCCGAACAGTGCCAAATTCTGGTGAGGCTCATGACTCACCCAGCCTCCAGCTTCCGCCGCCTATGGATTGATTGTATCGTTTCATGTCAGATATTTCAGTAATTCAAAAACATAATATCCCAACAAAGACGAATCTTGGGAATAATGTGATCAAATGGCTGAAATGAAATGAATAACAAAAAAAAAACTTCATAGTTTATTCAATTTCCGAGAAATGTTCTTGTTTGAAAATTCAATCAGATTGAATAAATTACTCAAACAAAAACTTACTAGAGTTCGTTCATTGTCATCAAATTCTTCTTTGAATATAACCAATTCATAGAGTACATTTTCTCGACTAGATTTCACTAGAGTTTGTATCAAAGTATCATCTTCCAACAATGTTTTGATCTGATATTCGGATAGGAACGAATCATATTGTCTTTCAACAACTAGTAGCATACTTCCAATGAGCAGAGGATACTGTTTGTTTCATGTCAAAGCTGAGAGAAGGTGTAGGTGGGTGTGTGAGAATATTGATTTCTTCCACACCCACATCCTTCGACAGCACGCATTTGTTTAAGAAGAGATAAATAGGGTGAGTGTGGGTTTGAGTATGAGTGTAGGTGTCGGTGCGCGTGTGGACTGAAGTTTCACAAGCACCTTCACCCACACTCACACTACCCATCCACACCCCCATATACACTCACACTCACACCACCCACATCATCCACCCACACACCCACACTCTCGAGAGATGATATATGAACTTGATTATTGACGCTTTGAATGATTAATTCTGGTAGTGGTTTAGGATGGGTGTGGGTGTAGCATGACTAAAACACCCACATCCACATCGATACTCACACTCACACCCTCAATGCGTTACTTATCAGGTGTCTTTGGTTATCTGGAATAACAAAGAAGAAAAGAATACCAGCTAGATAATGTTTGAAAAGATGCTGTTACTCATCTTTATCTCCCTTTTTTATCAGTTGCATAGTGTATATGTCGTCGAGAACAGAGAATCTGAAGGGAACAGTGTTCGCTATAGTCTTATTTACACCTTTTTGCCTTCTTCATACGCAGAAACATAACACATCTCCACAAATCTCATTTCAGTTTTAACATGGCAGCAAAATATCCGAATAACCAAAAGAAATCTATTTCCGAGAGGTTCGTCGATGTGAAGGGTGTGGGTGTGGGTGTGGGTGTGGGATGTGGATGTGAATGAGCGTAGAGGTGCGCTAAACCCAAACTCAGTCAAACCCAAACTCTGGGTTTGACTATGTTTGGGTTTGGGTTTGATAAAGTTTCACTAGGTTTCACTAAGGTATGACTAGGTTTGGGTTTGATGTATATCACGTAAAGATTAGATTTTCGTGGATGTTTGTAAAACAAGCGAACAACACCCACGAACACCCTTAAATCGAGAGCTGATATTATCAGTAGATAAAGCTCGCCAAGTTGACTCCACGAATATCCACGAGCATCTATGTCATTTGACAGTGAGTGGCTCTACTCGAGTTAGGTACATACCCAAAATTTGGGCCTTTTATGTGCTTGCATAAAGAAAATAGCAGGGATCGACCTTTTCAATTTTAAGCCTAGTAGTCGAATTCGGAATGTATAAGCGAAATTAAAGTATGAGGCTTAAAATTGAAAAGGTCGGTCCCTGCTATTTTTTCATACGAGTACATAAAGGCTGAAATTTTGGGTATGTACCTAACTCAGGTAGGGCTACTCACTGTCAAATGATACAGATGTTCGTGAGTATTCGTTGATTAAAAAAAATCAGTGTACATTGAAAATTTTTTTTATTGTTCAACCGTTTTGGGCGTTCGTGGAGGCAATCCAGCGAGCTCTATCTACTGATAATATCAGCTCTTGAGTTGGGGGTGTTCGCTTGCTTTACAAATATCCCCACAAATCTAATCTCTACATGATACACATCAAACCAAAACCAAATAAAACCCAGTCAAACCTAGGGTTTGAGTTTGACTGGGTGTGAGTGTGGGTGTGGGTGCGCGTGTGAATTGTGAAGTCCCACAAACACCTACACCCACACCCATCTCCATATAATAGCCCATGAAGATCTATGGGTACCGCCATATAATAGTCCTTGCGGATCTATGGGTACCTTCATATAATAGCCCTTAAGGATCTATAGATACCTCTATAGTATAGCCCATGAGGACTTCTGGGTACGTCCATAGGATGATCCGTGAGCAGGGTATGGGGGTGGGTGTGGACGTTACTTAAAAGTTCAATCCATTCAATTGGAACTAGTGGGATCCGACTCCTATCTTGTCGCATCCTGTGATCGGATCCGAACTCCATAGCCGAATTTCAAACAGCCGGATCTTGGCTTCGTAACCAGACCGAAAACGACAGTATACGGCTCGTATCCTGTCGCCGTCATAAGTCGCTGGAACCGAGCGCTGAAAACAGGCATCCGTATCCGGCCATCGATTCCGGACTCCGGAACTCACGGAAATTAAGCAGGAAACGAAGGTCAGAACCGATTTGGGAATACTGCCACCCTGAAATCGCTGAAAATTCACCTGATAAGCGGTTTCCCGCCGTACGTCTTGGACCTGGGCGGTGTAGCAACAGCATGCGCAAAATAATAAATTGTCGAATCACTTATCTATGAGCGTCGTTTCGTTTGCCATCTATATCCACAATCACACTCAATTCGTCACAAGACCATTCGTGGCACAAACAATTCTTTGCAATCACATGAGCCAATCAAAATTAATATCTATATTTCAACGGTCAGACGACTCATTCGATTAAGTTTGACTCATGTAATTCAATGCCCACAAGAATTATGAGAAATGCAACTAATGATTAAACTTTGATTTTTTGATTTCGGCATGTCGACTACAAAGAATCCTAGCAAGAAAAAAAGTCGAATTTCTCTCCTCCATAATTAATATTAATAGGATGTCAAAAACCTTCGATTATAATGTATCATCAGAATTCTTCTTCACATTCTATGAATCAATAACTCAATTCGACTAGTTATATATATATATATATATACAATGATTTGCAAAAAAGCTTGGAACAAATGCTTAGCTTGTATCAGGAACTAGTTCAACTTCTTTCAAGAAAAAAATATTTCTCTGTTAAAAGAATATCAGTTGATAGTTTTAGAACATCTGATTCGGGATTGTATTCCTCTTCCTTTTAATTCTAGAACTGCAAGATACCTGAGTTTTAGGCTATCAATAAAATGGATTACAACTTTTTCAACATTAATAATTGAAACAATGCAATTAGCGTGAAATTATGCTATTGAAAATAATAAAACTAAATCCTTCACGCCAGTAATCAAGCGATTATTTAAGTATCACTTAATTATTTCTTCAAAAGCATGGATCTGGTTTTAGGCATTATTCGGGATGAATAATTCGTTTCTGATTATTTAATGCTCGATATTTTCGAAGCCTTTAGGATCTAAGTCTTTCAGCTCAGGAGCTAATTCTATATAACGGTATCTTCATTGATCGATGGAGTTTTCTAACAAAGCAAGTTCTCACGTTCTAATAATATAATGTAGACGTATCATTCGCTTCGAGACTATGTGCCATTGTTATCTCAGATTAGTATCGTACTAAAATAAATTAGAATTGAATCATATATATAGATATTATTTGTGGCTAATCTGGTTAGTATAGACCTGCAATAATTGCAAAACAAAGACTCGATAGAGTTCAGCAAGTATTACATGTTTATATAGTAAGACTGTTCCACAGTTTTTTTGCTAACTATTGTTTATATGTATATAATAACACGCCATGGTCCCTAAAATAATAGAATTTGTACGTCAAACCCGAAGATTTGAAAATAGAAATTCGTTTAAAGTCTTTGATGACTTCAATGTTGCTCTTCTTTATAGAACGCTAAATTTTGTTAGTCTTTCCAAGGTATTTACTCATTATCAGAAATCTCGAACTGCAGCATAAATTTTAGAAAATGTGTATTTGTACTTCCACTACTATACGAAAACTCTCATCACTTGTATAGTTCGAATAAACTAACTTCTTATCGGTAGAAGAAGGTTCTTATACTGTACCCAATCAAAAATCGAAGTTTAGTTATTAGTTCTATTTCTGATAATATCTATGTTCATCGAATTACATTTGTCAAACTTAAATGAATAAGTTGCTTGATTGTTGAAAAATAGATAATTACTAATTTTGATTGATTTATGTCTTTGTAACGGACTGTCTTTCAACAAATTGTGCGTGCGACAATTTGACCTAGCATCGTTTTGTAGAAAGTGAAAAACTGCGCCGATGTATGTTATTAATCTTGACGTCCACATTAAAACACAACAAAAACTATAGACATTACGATTATCATCCAAAATACTGAATACCTACAAAAAAACCTATAGATCTCAAAACAAAGCAATTTTGGAAAAACTTTTTTTCTGCCCAAGAAAAAAGAAACTGCATTTACCAAAAGATGTAGAACTTCAAACTCTCTCTTTCTATCATATTGGAAATGAAGACTAAGAGATGGCAGATTTAACATGAAATCTTGCGGTATGCTTTAAATACCTCAGATTCCGTTAGATTATCAAATGTAGCTCCATAAAATTTTTATACAACCATAGAAAGATCATCTATTTTAATATTTTTTCGGAAATCGTTTGCAGAATCTGAAAGATATTGATTTAACATAAGTAAACAAAAAGAAGTCTCTTCAATTGAAAAATTCGTAAGATAAGGATAGGCATGTGAATGTAACTGCGGGTGCAGATGTGTTACTGCGATGTGCATGCGGATCCAATGGGTACTGTGTATCTTACTTCCAGTGTTACTAAGCTGACTGCCACAGATGCACGGATGTCCCACCTCGCACCAACAGCCATATCCATACTCACACTCGCACGCGCCCAATCGCAATAGCAACTTCCGAGTTGCTACATACAACTGGAATTTATAGCATCGCCCTTACAAACATCACAACTTCGATTCAACTTCTCCATCTCAAGAAAGAAAACGATGAGAATCCTTATCAAAACTAACATCTCAAGAATTTTATTTTTCCAGAATAAAAGATAAAACTACTTAAATCTGTTTCTTAAATTTTCAATGTTTCTTTTCACAAATGCCAAATGTGCATGAGTAGAAGGCACCGACTTTCTCAAAATCTCAAGTGATCTTTCGTACGATAAAAGAGCTTTCGAGTACTCGCCCATGTTATCATACACTGAAGCAATGTTGCTGTAGGAAGTAGCCAAGTCGGGATGATTCGGAGGGAGAGCTATTTTTCCGATTTCAAGTGATCTTTCTAACGATGAAAGTGCTTTCGAGTACTCGCCCATGTTATCATACACCATACCGATGTTGCTGTAGGAAGTAGCCAAGGAGGGATGATTCGGAAGGAGAGCTATTTTTCGGATTTCAACTGATCTTTCGTACGATGAAAGTGCTTTCGAGTACTCGCCCATGTTATCATACACCACACCGATGTTGTTGTAGGAAGTAGCCAAGTCGGGATGATTCGGAGGGAGAGCTATTTTTCGGATTTCAAGTGATCTTTCTAACGATGAAAGTGCTTTCGAGTACTCGCCCATGTGAGAATACACCATAGTGATGTTGTTGTAGGGAGTAGCCAAGTCGGGATGATTCGGAGGGAGAGCTATTTTGGAGATTTCAAGTGATCTTTCTAGCGATGAAAGTGCTTTCGAGTACTCGCCCATGTTATCATACACCATACCGATGTTGTTGTAGGAAGTAGCCAAGTCGGGATGATTCGGAGGGAGAGCTATTTTGGAGATTTCAAGTGATCTTTCGTACGATGAAAGTGCTTTCCCGTACTCGCCCATGTTACCATACACTGAAGCGATGTTGCTGTAGGAAGTAGCCAAGTCGGGATGATTCGGAGGGAGAGCTATTTTTCGGATTTCAAGTGATCTTTCTAACGATGAAAGTGCTTTCGAGTACTCGCCCATGTTACCATACACTGAAGCGATGTTGTTGTAGGAAGTAGCCAAGTCGGGATGATTCGGAGGGAGAGCTATTTTTCGGATTTCAAGTGATCTTTCGTACGATGAAAGTGCTTTCGAGTACTCACCCATGTTACCATACACTGAAGCGATGTTGTTGTAGGAAGTAGCCAAGTCGGGATGATTCGGAGGGAGAGCTATTTTTCGGATTTCAAGTGATTTTTCGTAAGATGAAAGTGCTTTCGAGTACTCGCCCATGTGAGAATATAGCATAGCGATGTTGTTGTAGGAAGTAGCCAAG